ATAAATTCCGTCCAAGATCTCATCGTTGCTCTAGCCTTGCACCTTCATATCGTACCGTTGGGTTGTTTTCGTCATTGGGAATTTGTGTAATCCCCTCGGTGTATCTTCCCTCTTCTTCCTCCTTTGTACACGTCCCGTTTCCATCATGACTTTCCTCATTAGGGCGTGTGTAGGTAGGTGATCGGACGGGTATGGATGTAGGTCGCAGGTGTAGGATCGATTGAGAAATGCTTCGTCGCAAGTATAAAAGGAGTATAAGAGATGTCGGATGTTTGAATACGACCCCCAGATAGACCTAGGCCCATTCGTGAATCGTATGTTGGTGGTGATGACTTTTTGTTCGACGTTGTTCCGGCTGTGAAATCTCTGCCGACTGATTTTTCGACCAAAATATCGAGTGCAACTCCTTCAACTCGAAAATCCATCAATTAAAATTCATCCCACCCATTTTCGTGACTGGATCTCGGCTCTGGGAGAATATTTCACTCCCAGGTTCGTAGAGGACACCACTGACAGGTTTTCAGCCTTCGTCCTCCACCGCCGAGTATGCACATCAGCTCCGCTAAAACTTTGGTTATTATCTCATTTTATTGTCCTGTCTGAGTCTATGACTATGTAGGACATGCAGGTCCTCTCTGCCTACAGGCCAAGGATACCTATACCAGTAGTATATCCCCTCCTATGCCTCCCATACAGCTTCCCTCAAACAGTACCACCCCTCACAAGCCCTCATTCGATCATACACTTGGAGGAGCCCTTTGCCCTTCATTATCTCCCCTCTCCAGCCAACGAAACGATGGCCATTTGCGGGTGTATGGCAGCCGGGAAAAATTGCAAAAACCACTGGGTGCGGGGCTCTTCTAATACCGACATTAGGAATAAATCCGAAGACACATTGCCCCTTCTGAAGCGTTCGAAGAGGCCGGCCAGCTGAGCGCTGCGGACTTGCGGGTACCTCGGGAAATTCACCCCCTGCCTTTCTAGCCTCCTTCCAACTCCGTCCCGAAGGTCGTGCTGAAATGTCAGAAAAGTCTTGACAGAGCGTGATTGCTGTATAGTAGCTTAGCCCAACTTCTTTTGTGCCGTCCAGGGCGCTGGGGAGTGCCGTTGACTCATCGACAAAAGAAGCCCTCCTGGCTCATTAGTCGAAATCTTAGTCTTGGCGCCCACACAGAATCCAAAGTTGATAACTCCTCGAAAATGTCAGTCCCGGCATAGTCTTCAAAGACCTGTTCCCCTCTCGTTCCACTTCTCAGCCGCCTGTCATTCCTCAAGATGTACAGCCCCATTAGAGCATCAGTCCCCCATAAACCAAGACCCCAACTTTGTATTTTTCGACTTGATTTCCTCCTTGCGGGTATAAATAGCTTCGTAAATTTGTAGTGAATGATGGCCGGCGATGAATGAGGCAAGCACCTGTTTGCAATTGGGGTGACGCCTTTATCGGTTGGCGAGGCGAGATGATATGTGTTTAGATCGGGGTTGAGGACTCAGAAGATAATGGTGAGTGCTGCATGGTTGAGAAGTCGTCAAATGGAGATATGCATGTGTTTACTTTCGACTTCGATTCGGATGCGATTCTTCTTGGCTATCCCAGATATGCAGAGCATACTGAGCGATTACACCGGCACCACTGGAAGGTGAAGAATTCGTCTTTGCCGGCGCTAAAACTTTGGTTGAGTCCCGCAGTATTCGAATCCAACAGTCCCCTGTATCAAGCATGATGGGTGCCACCTATCCAGATCCTACTTGAAAGACTCGACTCGGCGATGTACCACAGCACTATCCAGCCACAATCTTTTGAATAGTCTCGCCGGCAACCTGTCGAGTGGACTGATGAAGCGCACAATGCTCCTTGATGTGAAACCCTTTTTACCAAGTATTAGTATTTCAAACAATTTGAGATTGTATGCATTCTTTGCGTGAGCTTTCTACGTTTCCTCATTTCTCTCATGTCTATTCCGAATTCTCATCTCGGCCAACCTGTTTTTTACGGTGGCTATTAAAAACGGCGTGGGCGTATGTTTGAAGGCTATTTCAGGCCAGAGACTATTGTCATAGCTAGATAGCTGAATACAATATGATTAAAAAAAAAAAAAAAAAAAAAAAAAAAAAAGGCCAGAGACTGATTTGACAAGAGTTGTGTTCATTGAAATAAGGAAGCGTTAGGTTGTATATGTAAACTTGATGAAAGTAGGTGACTTTTCTCAACACCTGTCAGTGGTGTACCCTACGAGCCTCCAGCTCTCACTATAGAGCCGTCATAGCCGAGATTGAGTAACATCGTCCTCACTTCAATGAGAATTCCCAATCGCTTTCGCCGCCTGTATCGTCTTCATCTCTCAACACATCTCCCCTATCACCATTATCATGGAGAAGAAGCCATCCGATGAGTTTCCGGAGCGTACCCAGCACCCGATACGAAGATGGCGGATTGGATCAAGTCGGCCTGGACAGTTACAAAAAGGGTAGATATAGATGAATATGCGCACCTCATGTGTTCCCAGTGTCTAGGCCTCACCTGGCTAGGGCTGCAGCCTATATGAGACTTTTTCCCGCGCACGCAGTTTTAATTTCTGCTCTTTTTAATATTTTTTTGGGTAGAAGATTCTGTGAAAAAGATGACTGAATTCCATTGGCAAATACTGAGCTAAATGGCCCTGTCATGGGCAAAATATCAATGAAACTTCAAGAAACAAAAGAAGACGGGAGCACTGTACAAGGTTTGTTCCGGGTCAGAGAGGTACTCATTATGTTAGAAAGTCATAAAACCATGTTTTTTTTTGCATCAGATTTTAATTGTGTATGCAGCTATCTAGCTATGACACAATATCAAAGAAAAGTACAGAAAAGATGACTCAATTTACAAGAGGAGCACTCATGCCTTGGATTTTATTTGCAAGTACCACTGCGAAGTTATGCCGGCTTTTCTTCACCCCAAGTCAACCCTCATCCGTGAATACCCATCCAGGAGAACGTCTCAAAATCCCTGAGTTATCCAGACATGCCTTCATCATCCATCAAATTTTCTCCGCGCGAAATGTAATCTGGGATGTCTCCTTCCCAAGTGGAGTAGGTGCCCAGGCTACTCAGACTATACCAGAGAACACCATTAGGAGGCGGACCACAACACCTTCCATCATTTGCTTGTGTTTATAGTGTCAGCTGCACTCTCGCAAGCGAGGTCTTGGCGCGCACAAAGCTCAATTCGTAAAACTCCTTACCAAAATTCAGAATTCCGCGTCCGTCGTGTTTGTATCCTTCCATTGCGTCGTCTTGTCAACTTGTCCTGGTCCCTCTCACGTCCATTCCAAAGAGCTATCTCCCAGATTTGTGCGCCACGTTTTTCTTCCTTCGTTGGGTATAAATATCGGCGTGGGCGTGTATTTGGTGGTCTACTGAGGCCAGAGAAGGTCGAAGAGTGGTGTGGTCATTGATATGAGGATATACTTGGTCGTACTTGTAGGCTTGATGAGGCTTAGGTCGGAGTCAAACTCTTTGGGAGCGAAAAAAAGACGTGGAGGAGTAATTTGGATTTTTGCCTCGTGGGCCAACTTCTTTGATATTGCGAAATTTGACTGAACTTGGCTCTGGGAGAATATTTCACTCCCAGGTTAGTAGAGGACACCGCGTACAGATGTTCAGTTTTGCCCTCCTCGTTTGACATTAAAGAATGATGTGTTGGAGTTTCTAAAATCATTGCCTCGTATGTCAATTTCTTTGGTGTTGCAAAATTTGACTGAACCTGGCTCTGGGGGAAGATATCAATGCCAGGTTCTTAGAGGACAATGCAAATAGGCATAAAGTCTTTTTACTCTGTGGTTCGAACCTGCAATGCTCGATCGTTTGATGCCATTCGTGATTTGTTTGACCGCTCGAAGGGTATTAGTGGTGCGGGGTTATGAACTAATGGAATCAATACACCACCTTTCGAGTGATAATTTATGGAGAAGCTGTCGAAACCAAGTCATAGAGACGAGCCGAACCTTAGTTCTAGAGTAGAATCTTACCTCCCTCTTCGTGAAAGATAAGGCTGACAATTATCCAGTTCTCCTTGACCCGGTAGGAACAATACCCAAGCGAAATCTAGAGTAACCTGGTCGTTCAGACGAGACGAAATTCATGTAGTTTATCATGGTCAACCTAATACAGCTCAACCCCGCTTGTATCAAGCTTCATGGGAGTATGAGAGCGGCAAATCGTCCTATAAATGGAATAACAGCACTTTACGCCCTCTTTTATTTGAAACCGTTCAAATAATCCCTTTCACTCTCCCTCTACCAAACAGGCTTTCAAAGACGTTCTTTCACAAATAAAGCCCCTATATCGTAGTCATGCTCCACTGCACTTTCTAAAGTGACACAGGAATGTATCTTATTCTTTAACATATTCTGAGCAAATCGTTTTATGATTTTGCCTCGATTTTGCTACTGGCAAAGGGATGGCATACGCGCCCAGCAGCGCCAGCCGTGGTGGGTGCTGAGCGCGAGACTTGGAGTTAAGTTTTTCTCAAATGAATGTCATTTGTAGCCCTTCGTTCTGGCACGGATGAGAACATCAAACATGGTTAGAAATAACTCTGTAGGTGGTAGATTAGCGATAGACTTAGTTGCTGACCTGAACTTCACATTATGGCTGGATAAAGTGCCTCACAACCTCTACAGCACTAGTAGTCTAAGGAGTCATGCCGTCAGCCTTGTCTCCCTACCTTGCCCACCTCACCACAAAAAAAGGGATCTTGTTTGGTAGAAAGTTGCTCCTTTTAGCGAGTGAGGGTGTTACAGCAGTAGAATTAATATTATCCTTGCATGCTCACTTGCCCGACTGCGAGTTGGGAGGTCAAACCTTGTTGAGTGATCTACGATCACGAGACCAGCTACTCTGATAGGGATTAGGGTAGTCGTATAAAAAGCTTTACGCCGCATTTGCATTTTTGTCACTGGCCCAGAATTCAACTACATTCTCAACTCCAGCTGTCACTCCGTGAAACCTTCTCTAACATGAATCCCGAACTATCTACCACCGCCACGTGCCCCGAAAGACCTCCGCCTGCCGCATTTATAAAAGCTAATTATGTACCCAAAGAATCCACACCTATTCCCAAGAAACAAGAGACAATAGAAAAAGAAACCCCGTCGTCTCTTTGGACCGATATTTACATTGAGCTCGTCTGCAACACTTTTAAGCCATACAATTGCGATACATTTATGGCACACACTCATATTGCCTCGGCTATTTCAGCAAAACTCGGTCAATCGGCTCCACCCCTGACTTACCTTATCGTAAGCACCTGCGATAATGTGTGCTGGGTTTGTGTTGCCAAATCCGATTTACTAAAATTTGTCGACTCTGTCACAAGTTGGGAAGGCTATGACATACCTATCGGCCGCATAACATGGAACTACAAGGGTGGAAGCAACTGGATGTGTTTACTCGAGGAGTATGAAAAGGAAAAAGCAAAGGAGAAAGCGGAAAACGAAAAGAAGGAAAAGGAGGAAAAGGAAAAGAAAGAAAAGGAAAAAGAGAAGGCGTAGCTGGCATATTCCATCTCATCCGACTTTTTAAACGATTACGCTCTCTATTCAGTGAATCATACCTTATTCACGTACCAGCTAAATTTTTACCCCTCAAATTTGCCAACAAAGATAGTGCGACTCACTGACTCTTACAAAATACTAAGCCGAATTATGCAGAATATTAAAATTAGAGTATTTTGAAGTTTTCAGTGCCACCACTTTGTTTCCACAAATAACTGGCTATCACTCTAGTCTAAAACTTGTGAGCTAAGCAACCGAATAGAGATTAGCTTGATTCGCCTGGATACGTCAATATATCAAGTTAAAAGGATAATTTGTGAACCTCATTCCTAAATTAGCGCCAATGCTATCTACATCCTGCTTTGAAACTATGCAAGTATGTGAATATAAGATATGGGTAAAATAATTGATGGGCAACAAATACTACAAGTTATAACAGAGACCCACTTTCCATATCTTGCCACTGGTGATGTTATTTTTATTGTATTACTTGAGTCATAGACTATCTAGCACATCGGGCTCCTCTCTGGTCCAGGCCACACCTTGAACAGTGCCCCTATCCACTTTTTTTACTTGAAAGATCATTGATATATTCCCCGTGATGAATAGCCACTAATCTCAGTACTCACTCGTAGAATTCAGCCACTTTTTCCACGAAACCTTCTTCCCAAATAAACGGTAGCAATGGAAACTGCGTGCGCGGGAAAAACACTCAAAAAAACTGCAGCCCTAGCCAGGCGAGGCCTAGACACCGGTACCACATGAGGTGCGCATATTCATCTATATCTACCCTTTTTGTAACTGTCCAGGCCGACTTGATCCAATCCGCCATCTTCGTATCGGGTGCTGGGTACGCTCCGGAAACTCATCCGATGGCTTCTTCTCGATGATAATGGTGATAGGGGAGATGTGTTGAGAGATGAAGACGGTACAGGCGGCGAAAGCGATTGGGAATTTTCATTGAAGTGAGGACGATGTTACTCAATCTCGGCTCCGCAGACTCTATAGTGAGAGCTGGAGGCTCGTAGGGGACACCACTGACAGGTGTGGAGAATAGGCCCCTTGTGCTTCGGAAAAAGATCGGATGATTACTATTTCATGACCAAGCAAAGAAAATTAGGTGAATAATAGTTTGATGTTGGAGCCTACCATCTGATCTCATCGTAGTTAGCTTCATGATTATTGTGTTAGGAGCTCGTGCTGAGAGATAAAAGTGATGTAGATCGCGAGACGGATGAGGAATTCGTCTTTGCCGGCTCACAAAACTACTAGATCAATAAAAATTACGTCATGCTTTCTGTTTGTTTTAATAGGACGTCCAAACAAGTTCTCTTTGCCTTGAATTCGCATCCCTTCAATTAAGGATAACAAAGACCTCCTCGAGCCGCTTGACTAGCTCCGCACAATCTCCGAGAGAGGATCACTGGTTTCTTAGGAAAGCCCGACAGAGTGGGCCGACTAAATCTAGAATATTTCTAAAAGTCCTCGGGTCCCTCGGAGCTTAACTGAAGTGGCCCAAACATCGCAACAGACCGATTTTAAATAGAATACTGTAGGAATTAGCCCTCTAGAAACGACTGGCACATCAGAGTTCCAAAAATAACCAGTGATCGCTTGGATCTGTTAATAATATAGTGAGTTTAATCCTTTGAGTTGCAGTCAGGCCACGTCATGAGTACTAAAACCCATGAAAAAAAGATGCATTCAGGATCCTTTTTTTCACGCATATTTATTAGAGTAAGGTCGCCGTTAGAAGATTCGACTGTTAGGTTACAAGGCGACGAGGGCTGTGGTCGGTACATGCTAGCAAGACATAAGGTATATATATTTTTCCGAGAAAGAGTATCATGACAAGAGGATTGCAGGGTTGATTAAGCAGAAGTTTGTAGCAAGCAAAGTTTGCAGTCAGTGATGACTTTTTATTTTGATGGGCTGTGCTCTAGGCTTTTCGTATGTCACGAGAAGATTCTGCATATATAAAGAGAGTATTATCCGAGGCATGGATCTCCCCAGCCTATAGTCAGGTAAGATCTAAATGTCAATCCATGCTCGCAAACAAAATAGGACAGTGAAAACCAATTATATCAAGGCACTTAGATGCAAGAATACAATGCTTAGGACGATGTGTAGACAAATTTCTACGCCATCTTCTGCTAGCCTTGGAGTGAAATTTTTACTCACAACCTAGCTTAGTCAGACAGAGCATTGATCGAGAAATTAGCCAGCAAGGCAATAATTCATGACTTTCAATTATATCAGTCATTCAATCCCCAATATCGGAGGGCAAGACTGAACACCTGTACGCGGTGCTCTCTACGAACCTGGGAGTGAAATATTCTCCCAGAGCCAAGTTCAGTCAAATTTCGCAATATCAAAGAAGTTGGCCCACGAGGCAAAAATTCAAATTACTACACCATGTCAATCTTTCACTCCCAAAGAGTCCGATTCTCAACTAAGCTTCATCAAGTCTACAAGTACGACCTAGTACATCCTCGTTTCAATGACCACACCTCTCGTCGACTTTCTCTGGCCTCAGCCGGTCACCAAATACACGCCCACGCCGATATTTATACCCGACGGAGGAAGCAAAGCGGGGAGCACAATTTTGGGAGATAGCTCTTTGGGACGGACGTGAGAGGGATCAGGACAAGTTTACAAGATGATGCAGAAGAGGGATACATTCTCGACGGGCGTGAAATTTCGAATTTTGGAAAGAGTTTTACGAATTGAGCTTTGTGCGCGCCAAGACTTCGCTTGCGAGAGTGCAGCTGACACTATAAACACAAGCAAATGATGGAAGGTGTTGTGGTCCGCCTCCTAATGGTGTTCTCTGGTATAGTCTGAGTAGCCTGGGCACCTACTCCACTTGGGAAGGAGACATCTCAGATTACATTTCGCGCGGAGAAAAGTTGATGGATGACGGAGGCATGTCTGGATAACTCAGGGTTTTTGAGACGTTCCCCTGGGTGGGTATTCACGGATGAGGGTTGACTTGGGGTGAAGAAAAAGCCACCATAACTTCGCAGTGGTATTTGCAAATGAAATCTGAGGCATGAGTGCTCCTATTGTAAACTGAGTCATCTTTTTTGTACTTTTCTTTGATATTGTGTCATAGCTAGATAGCTGCATACGCAATTAAAATCTGATGCAAAAAAAAAAAAAAAAACCCCAATATCATTGATCCCGAACGAAGCTTCATCATGCCTGCAAACACGACAGAATCCATCCTAACTTCAGTAATTCTACCCATTTCCCATTCAATCTCTACTACTAAATATTGTCTATTGGAAAAGATTGAAAAAACAGTATATATAAAAACAAGTAAAATTTGGTGGTTTAATGTCTACTTTAAGCAGTCCTTCATAGTCATAGACTCAGCAGGGACTTAAATTTAATTCTATTCTATTCTACCACTAAATGGCCTACAGTTATACGCTGAAAAAAATATAAGTTTTCACAAGACACAACCCGCAAGTCTAGCGAATCACATTCTTAAGATACACATTAGAGGTGTCAGGGTAGGTAGTGAAGATAGATACAATCTCGGCGGGTGTGAGATTTCGCTGTCTGGAAAGCAGCTTTTTCACATTGAGCACTGTGCACTTCACGACTTGGTCTGCGAGTGTTCAGACGAAAGAATTAACACCCTCATGGCAGGATAGTCCAGTGGTATACTATTCAGGCTGACCTCCCAACTAACTCCTGGATAGCTTGGACACTTACTCTACTTGAGACAGGAAATAGCTGGTTCGAATATAGAAAGACTTGATTGCATTTCTCGCGGCGCCGGTGTGCACAGACAAAGAAGGCACGCTTGGATAATTAAAGTTTTTGAATGTTCCTTTGTTGTGTACTCACGGGGGAGGATCGACTGTTTGTGTAAGCGAACATACCTCATAGTGGTATTTGCAAATGAAATCCAGAGTATGAGTGTCTCTAACGTCAAAAGTCATCTAAAATGTACACAGAGCATTATTCACTTGTCATAGCTAGATAGATGAATACAGATCAAACGATAGAAGAATGTCACGTTAGCCACATTTCATTGTACCGTTTGCTCTATGTAAGAAGTGTGGATACAACTTTGTAACTAAACTTCCGCTTTTTTATGATCCCAAGTTTTGCAAACATGTTTTATCTGCATTACCGAAAAACAAAACGCGAGTGGCATTGCCCTGGATCAGACTGGATACGTGAGCCTCGTCCCACCTAAATGGCCAGACAACTACAGACGTCGCCCCTAAACTAAAGCATGTCAAGTCAAGCCGTCTAGAGAAACTTCTTTCGGCATGCCATAGCGCTCCATGCTTCATGGAATCGGCTTTCCCTATTTCTGGTTTGTCCCTCTCCTCTCATCCTAGATACACATTGCACTGGGAACTTTCCATCTCTAGCAAAGGTCTTTTACCATATAATAATTCTTACTACGAGCGTTTTCGTTCTCGTAATTTTGCTGAGTAGACGATGGCCCCACTAAATATTCCGGTTTGTTTTACCATTACTAGATATTTTGAAAATAAAGAATTGTCTTTTCTAGGAATCGTAGGTCTTAATGTTAGCTTAAGTCTGGATAAAACTGTTTGTAGGCCTATGTGACTGAAGTCTATTAAGAATAACTCGTCTACAACTAAGTGATGGTTAGGGGTTTCGGGTCGTCTCTAAGTTGTTTGATAAGTATTTGGTTACATGGTTGTCACGGATCAGGTGTAGAAGATAAGGAAATTTTTGTTAAGGTGGTAGTCTAGATCTCAGATAGTAGAGAGCTCGTTGATGGATCGGTCAGGTATTTGTACATTTTCCCTCATTTTTCTTTCCGCCCTAACTTCGAAATATTAGCACGCTGGATGAACTTTAATCTTTCTAATACCTTTTCATCTCGTGTCGAGAAGTTTCGCATTGCATTATCCTTGGTTCTTGGTAATATTTGGAAAGGGTTTCTTCATTGCTAGGATAGACCAATTCCTCTCAGAAGATTCCTAGACATGTCTGTTCCAGTCTCGAATACTCCTGATGAAAGATTTTTCAAACAATGATATTATAGGATCTCCTGGGTTATTCATATTCAAGTATGAATAGGATAGAGCAATACATACGCTGGCCAGCTTATACTATAGATATTGTTTAGATCAATAACCGTCACAATTGCTGACTCGTGACTACTATCTTGCGTAGATGTTGGTGTTTTTATCTAGCCGGTCTGATCATGAGCCTATGGATGATTCTGATAGCCCAAACTACCCTATTGGATATAGTTTTTCAATGCGTTTGAGAGCAGATCACAAAGGGTATTATATACGATATTATTTGTTATATTTTAGGGGAATAGGAAGTTCTCGGAGGCTCGTCGTATTCTGCTGGCATTAGTCCGAAATTCGTGTATAAATTAATAGCTGTGCACAGCTGTTAGAGATTTTAGACAGTTCTTGTAAGTTTATCTTAGCCTACAATCTAATCTCTTCTTTTAATTCGTCTCCTTGCAGTAGATGTTGGATGAATATTTTGATACGATTGACTATTATGTTCTGAAGTTTATTTGCCGTCGCATCCTAGTCTACATTTCCTTACATGACATAGCTAGCTCTTCTCAGTGAGCACCGGTGCTGCGGATTTTTCAAAACCTTTGACTAGCCAAGCATGTCTTCGTCTTGTGGAAGAGCATCGCGAATAATGTGATTGAGTTTTACTGGATTAGATCCGACGATCTTCTGTCTCAAAATATATAGGTGTCCCAAGTATTCAGATTCTGCTTGAGAGACCAGACCGGAGGTCTTAGCACTTCCCTGTGACACTCGTGAATATGACTGCCATGCCGATCTGACTGAGCATGTAAACAGCAAAATTTGCCTCCGATCGTCCTAAAAGCTAAGAGGTTTGATTCTGATGAGCTCTAGGTGGGCTCAGTCTTCAGAATGCTTTATTAAAGGTTTCATGATGTTGTAGCTCGATTGTGTACGGGATAAAAACGATGAAAAGCTTTCACTCGCGCTGCTCACCTGCAGCAGCGGTCATCCCTGCGATCAGAAACGGATGAAGAGTGGTAGGCTAAGCGAGCTAGGTTTCGAGGCCGTCAAGGGTCCTCAGTCAGGCAGCAGTGATGCCTCGGGTAGGTCCAATGCGACGCGTTGAGGCCCGAGATGTATCAGAAGTCTCGGCAGCGGCCCAGCCCGAATCGTGCTGACCTGCCGTCTTTTTCAGCAGGTGGCGGCTTAGATGATGCCCTACGTGAGATATGGCGGCTGTGGCCAAGACTCGTTTCCATTGTCGAAGCTTCTTGTGTCTCGCCCTCCGTCGTCATTGGTCAGTCCCTGAAGACCGAGGAGCCCTGTCAACTTCAGACCTACCTAAATTTCTGCTTTAATCGCTCTTTATTGCACTTGTCGCTTGAAAAATAATACTGAACCCTTGGTAACCCTTCCCCCAGTCACTGCGCCCCTCGCGCAAAAGGCCGGTATTAACTTGTAGCTAAAGCAATTAGTTGTGTTTCCAATGTTGGCGGGATTTTGTTTGCCAATTTCTGTAGATTCATCACGGTAGCATTTGGCGTCGGAAGCGCCGATTCACAAGTTTGATCTCGTTTCATCACCATCACTTGCCTGGCCTGGACTCCATTCTCCGATCTAAAGACTCGAACTTTTTCCTTTATCCTCCAGATCTCGCGGTCATTGATCTACATCGACTTTTCAGTAGCGGGCTGCTCTAAACTATCCCCAAATTATCATTTTATTACTATCGTTATTATTACTATCGTTATATTACTATCGCTTTTTTCAATCAATCTCGCCATGTCTCGCGCCAAAATTTCTCGCTCCATCTTGCCAATAGAATCTATTATAATTCGCCCTTACCAATGTCCTTTTCAACGCCAGATACAAGACGAAGAGGAGAAGAGATATCCATTGATCCGACCCCTAACTAGTCCTACTCATCATATCATCTCGCAACAGCCCAACTACCGGGATCCATTCATAAACTGTGTAGTGAGCGATGAAAAGGCTGAGGAAGATAACGAAAGAGATGAGTTGTTTGGCAGCACCTGTCTATTTTCCTTCTGGTCTTGCTTTTGTTAGAGCAAATTATCTTTCTTTTGAATGAGCCGGCGGGTCCGGGAGGCATCGAAAAACTAATACAAAGAGCCTACCGAGTCGGACAATTTTATTTAATGGCCCCAAATTGGGCCCTAATACCACAATCTTTTCAATACAATCATCCATTTCACCTTTAAAGCTATCTCGGACTTGCAATATTATGAAAACTTCCGCAGGTCCCACCGACATGAATATTTTACGGTTGCGAACAAGATGTTTCAAATTATTAATGTACGAAATCTTTATCAGATCGAACAGCGGTCAAGGCTGGTCCTTTAGTAATTACATGTGTAACATGAAACAATATACTGAAATGAATGACCCATATCATGACTCTGATAGCTAATATCATTTAAGCCTGATTTTAATAATTAGACAACTTCTACCTCTCTCAATCGTTGCTCGAGGTGAATAAGTTTTGTGAATTATGGACTTTCCTAGCTTACTTTTATTATGTAAGCATGAGTTTCGCTGACTGCCCATGAAGCTATGATCCACTACTCCATACCAAATCAATATCTCGCTCCTAAAAAGATAAATTTCGGATTAAAGCCTCATCAAATCTACAGATATGACCTAGTATATCTATATCTCAATGACCACACCTCTAATTTACTTTTTCCTGGCCAAAAATGGCTACCATAACACGCATAACTCTATCTGTGAGAAGATGGGTAGGGTAACGGTAAAATAAGCTGTTGTAAGTTGCAGATATAACTAACAGGACAATACGCACTACCTTCATGAGTCTCAACACGTCTTGTAATTGTATTTACAATTAACTCCACCTCATCTTGCAATCATCCTTAGCCTTTAACCCTTCTCATCACCACCCTAGGATTATATTTTATCAATCTGACGTGGTCATAGACCCCAGTTTTTCACTTTAGATAACTGATATTCATTCAATGTGCTAGATAGTCATAGACTCAAGTAGTACAATAAATTCACACTCACACACTGGTATTCATTATGTCACGTTACTACATCATGTGACACGACCATTGAATTTTCTCCGTAGCCTTCAAGAGAATAGGAGAGGAGAGTAAGAGTAATTGACGAAAAAATACCAGAGCCTATACAGTGAATACGCCAACTAACACTGGTCTGAGTTGCCTCAATATCGGCAACTCAGATCCGCAAGGTAGAAGAGATATATATCGCTGTATATTCTACTAGATACGAAGTCCTATCGTAATTGAGTGTTATATTATTATCAAGATGAAGGACTGGTAGAGTAGCATATTGACAGCTGGACGGAGACAAGAGCTACGCGTACGGTATGCAGGCTAGAGGTTTCCGTAGTGTATTAAAAACGAATTAGTTGCACAACCACATAGCCAAAAGGCTAGCTCAGAATCATATAATGCTATGATCCTGTTACCCCCAGACATACAGATTATAATAATTAATCTAGGCACGGCAGATATGGTGAATGGAACAAATTAGAATAAGATATGACATTACCAGTATTGAAGAAACGCCTTAGAATATTTCTCAGAGAGCATGGTATTTATCATGGACGTCTCAAAGGACACATTGTCCCGCAATTAATAGATTTTCTTGGCTTTATCAACTACCCGACTGGGAATATGAGGGGCTGAGTGTTGTGATCTAATGCTGTTCAATCCGCGAATTTCGTGGTGAGCAATTATCATATCCCCCGTAATGGAAGACGGAAGGGAAGTTTTTTTAATTTGATTTCATTTAACCAGATCAGGCACCCTATGGGACCATGCAGGTGACTATCTTCATTATTTACAAAGGAGGAAACCAAATTGGGGAAAACCCCCTGATCCTGTCTGTTTATATTACTATCAATTTGTTAAGTTTACCCTCAGGAAGTGCAGTGCACACAGTATAGCCAGCGTGGATTCGGTCTTCTCCCCTTCTAGATCTATTTATTTTATCCGACATTGCTACCTCAATTTCCCCTGCAAGTCGAAACTGTTTTATCCATCCTTTGTTTAGTATCCACTGTGTAATTCTAGCCATATCTTCTGGGCTGTTAACCATTGCTTCAAATGAACTGTCGTTAGCTAGTCAGAGAACGCCGCATCTTCCACTTGCCCACTGCGGACACGCCAACACCATGTGCTTGACGTTTTGTGACGGATATCCACATTGAAAGCTTGGATTTTCTACTCCGGGTACTTTTCTTCTACACAGGTAGAAAGTCAGCCCGATATGATCGCTTCTTAGCTGAATGGCGACACTACTTTGGGCCCTGGTTAGGTTGCGGTGGATGCTTAAGGGTGTATCTTTGAAATTTACTTTTGTACTGCCTGTTTGTATATCAGTTAATATTTTTGCCACTTTCCACTGTTCTGGATCGGCTGATGCTGGTCGGCCAGGGCGCTGTTTCCTTTTCTGGCTTGTCCATGAATTCTTCCACTCCTGAAAGACCGCTATCTCTCCAGCTTCTTTCTGCCTACGGAAGGGTAGTTATTATTACTATTATTTTAGGGAAAATTGAATTCCAGAGTAGACAAGTCTCTACATGAAGTCCGTCCTGGAAGAAAGAACAACATTAATAATGTTGTGATCATTCAAAGGCGACCGAATATGTACCAGCTGTTACAGGCTAGCGCCTCGTTTAGTTAAAACCGGATTATATCCGGTACATTTATCGAGAAGTCTTAGAGGACATGGCTTGGCTGGATTAAGGAGTTATGTAGAGGATAACTCCTGCATAAATCCATACGCGACGCGCAGTATCGAGTAGATAACCATGTAGTCTTCGTAGTACTTCTATCTCATAAACTAATTTACGACGCACTTTCATGCGAATAGCTAATGTGATTAGTCCCTTCACACCAGCGCCGGGATACCGTAAGGCTTAGCACTCTAGCCATTACTCTTTTTCTTTTTTGTTAGCACACTTCTCCCGATTCTCAGTCCTTCATAGTCATAGACTCAGTAGGGACTTAAATTTAATTCTATTCTATTACATTCTATACTATTCTCCCGATTCTCGAGACTAGAACTATGACAGCAGTTGGATTTGTAGATGACACAAATATTCTCACATAGTCAAAATCAAACGAAGAAAATTGCCGAAAGTTGGAGGAAAAACACCAAGTATGTGAACAGTGGGCAAAAACACATGGGGTCAAATTCGAGCCTGAAAGGTATCAGCTTATGCATTTCTTCCGAGCCAGGTAACGACACAACCTCAAAGCGACGATTGAAATCCAAGGCCAAACAATAGTCTCACAGCTTTCCTTACAAGTTCTCGGAATCTACTTTGATCCAAATCTGAGCCGGGGAGCTTACGTCAAGAGCCTTCAACTGAAGGCAGAGATGAAAGTTCAGGGTCTAAGCAGGTTAATACAGTCAACGTGAGGAGCAAAATTTCACAAGTCAAAGATACTATTTAGAATGGTTGTAAGACCAGCGCTAACATATAAGTCACCTATTTGGGCCGAGGTCGGACCGGGTGGAAAAATACCAGAGAGGATAGTTAGACCTTTCAGAAGAATACAAAGGAATTGCCTGGAAATTTTCATCGAAGCATATAAGTCTACCAGCACGAGAGTTCTAGAACACGAAACGGCTACCTAACCCATCTAGATATCCTTGAAGAAATAAAGACTTCAATATTTAGGTTGCTTAAAGCACTTACCTATCCAGAAGACAATCCAGTCCGCCTGTAGTAAAATCAAGCTGCCCAAAGTAGGGAGAAAAGATATACGAACAATTAACAGAAGGATAGATCTTGCCCATTGGACGGGAATGTGCGGTGAACAAGAAACCAAGAAGACACATACAGAGATAGTGAAAGTTGAGGCATACCGAGAGTGGGCGCAATCCTGGGCCAAGCAGAGACAAACTCAGAAGCCTCGCCAGTTGGCAACTGCACATTCCGAAACTTGGAGAGTAGCCAAATTCTAGTAAAGTAGAGAGTCTGGACGGCAAAAACCGAGTTTTCAAGGCTCACCATTCTTCCTACATCGTAACCTGAAAAGTGCCCAAAGCAGTTTGGCAATGCAAATACGAAGTGAGCACTTGGGGCTTAACTCGTATTTACACAGAAGAAAAGTAGCCGAAGTATTAAGTCCAGGTTGTCCATGCGGCTACCAATCACAGAAGCCCAAGCATATGATTATGTCCTGCCCCTGATGGTCAAATGGTAGAGCAGAGATCTGGAGATAAGCGAAAGATTGGTCCTACGAAGCGATGATAAACAATTCTGGAGACATCAAAAAGATAACTCAGTGGATACTAAATAATGGTTGCATAGAGCAATTTCAGATGACAAAGGCGGTCGAAATGCTGCTGAGGGAAAGGAAAAGGTCAAATAATGATTGGGGGGGATAGAGATGATCTGGTTAGTTTACATGGATGGCACTATAGTGTAACTGCGCTTCCTGAGGAAAATATGTGAGAACTATAGACAACAAGTAGAAAGGTGTGGGAGGTTTTCACCATAAAGGTTACCTCCCGGTTAAATATTATAGATTGTATACACTTAGTTCATAGTGTATTCAGCTACATAGCTATGACACAGTTCTAACATACAAAATATATCTAAAAAGGTTCTGCATGTTTTTTTCCCAAGTAGTTTTAATTTTACTCGATTTCATCTTCTGCATGCCCTAAGGCATTTAGTTGAATCCAGAAAGAAAAGTAATACTATTTTCCCAATGTTTGTTCCAAAGATAAATGATAGTCTAAGTGGTGTTATACCTGCAAGATGTTTTTTCCTTTCAACGTTGAATTTTTTACAATGAAGGATTAGATGTGGCACTGTCTGTCTTCCTTCCCCCCAGAAGTCACTCCAATCACTTTCTGATTTTCCAATTTTTTTGAGATAAGCCCGAGTATTACCAATACCAGTCCCTGCCTGAAAGTATTCAACCTGAGTCTTTCTGCTGTATTTGTTGTAGTTGTAGGGTTTGAGCTTGAAGTCTGGAGCATTCTTTAGTGCAAAGATCCTAGAGTACTTTCCAAGTCCTTTGGCATTTCTGCCCTCTTCTTCT